TACAAAAGGAAGATTAACAGTGATAAGGGTTTTTAGGCTTCTTGTGTGTATATATGGGGGAAACCGAATAGGCGGCAACTTTTCAAATCTTTGGTATAATGTGGACAGCTATAGGAACACACGGAACCAGTCAGGAAAGGCCGCGTGGTGTTGAAAAGATGGTTTGTCAGTACGGCTAATTGATCGATGACAAGACTACTGGCGCAATCCTTAATGACCAACCAAATTGGAAAGCTCGGCCGGAGTAGTAATCTCAATCACGCTTAGCTTGGATGGCATTAAGGGACAATTGAGAGGGAGATTTGCGCCGAACAATTGGGCCGAGCTACGTTAGCGTGGGATATGGCATTGGGCCTCGCTAGGGCCAAGGACCATGAACCTGGCCGAACTGAACCAACGCGGCTGCCCCGGCCCATTAAGTGGGGCCGAGAAAGCCGACCGAGCTATGATTCAACTAAAATGGATATTTGCTTAAATCCGTACAGATGCGTTGGGATGAACTACGAACAGTCCGGACTGACTTAGGGCCGAGGAGTCCTATGAGGTAGCAGGGCGAGGTAGAAATGTCGAACCGCACGTCCTACGACCAGTTGATCCCGATGGACCGATTTATTGTAGCTCAGTCGTTCCAGTTCGTTGTGGTGTCTGTTTCTTCCAAGTGATAGCCTGGTAGTGTAAGCGATCTAGACCAATGGTAAAGCAGAGAAAATCCACTCCTGGCATGCGTCAATACCGTTTGGCGGTTCGACAAACACTGTTTGGAGGTTTTGGTCTCTACACATGTAAGAAAGGTAGAGGGGAGCATAGCCGCCTGCTTAGAGAAGAACAACAGAGCTAGTGCGCCCACAATCTCTGAGGCTGCATGGCCAGCCTAGAAAAAGAAGAAAAGAGAGACATTAGAGGTAAACAATCAGAAGGAATTCCAAACTCTCTCGCTTTAAAGTGCTCTCTCTATTCTTCTTCTTCTTCTTCTTCTTCTTCTCCAAGTGTGCTGACTTGATCGTCGGATGGTTTATCCGGCAGCACACCGCCGGGCAACTCACCATTTTTTGGTTTTCAGGTCAGGCGACATCACGTGAAGCTTGGATTCAAGGAGTACGGAGAATAGAGAATATTTGACCCCCGTACACCAACTGATGATTATCTTATCAGAATTTGTGAGTATTATAGCAAGTGATGATTAACCTTGTTAATAAAATTGTTAATAAATAAGTTAATATCTTAATATTTTTTAATAAAATTGTTAATAAATAAGTTAATATCTTAATATTTTTTTAATTATTTAAAATTATAAAATTTAATTTGAGAATTTAAAATTCTCGCAACCCTGACAACCCCTTTCGCTTAATTTATATATATTGCTTAATTTATATATTTATATATATTTATATATATATCTAGATAGATAGTGGGTCCCAATGAAAAACTCAATACCAAAATAATGGAATCAAAATTTAATCCTAGCAGTTGACGAGAGGATTACTGAATTTCCTCTTCCTGATACAAACCTGCCCTTTTCTTTACTAACACAAAAATCTCTTGATTGAATATTTACTCCCAAATTTTTTCCGAAAATATTTCATCTCTCTTCTTTCTCTGTTATTTGCTTTCACCTTCAGCATCATGTTTTTTTTAAAATAAATAAATATTTACAATAAAAAATATTTATTCTAAGAAAATAAAAATAAGAAAAAATTTAAATAAATTTAAATATTAAAAAAAAAAAAACCTAAAACAATTTCAAAATATAACTCAAAACTTAAAAAAAATTCAAAATCCATAACTAAACGAATTTTATCTTTTCAAAATTCATTTCAAAAATTAATTTTTAAGACGTAACTCGAAACTCAAATCTCAAATCATAATTTAAAAACTAAATCAAACGGATCCCTAGTTGGCCTTGCTTCCAACTTCCAACCCGTGTTGAACATTTCAACCCATAAAGACTTCGTCACAAGTCTGCTTTCAGTATTATCAGGTCTCTAATATTTCAGATTGTTAGATAGATATATTTTTATTATTTTTCTATGGGAAAAGTTAGGGATCATGAAAATTTTATCATGAAAATGATCATGAAAAATTTATGATCCTTGGATTACCTTGATTAGTGTGTGGTGCTTTATTCTAAGTGTAATTCAAAGGTCACAAAGCTTTCATGATTATTTTCATGACAAAATTTTCATGATACCTAGTATTACTGTTTTTCTATGTGTATATTCATCTCATGTAACGTTTATGGAGTTCAAAAAAAATAATAAAAATAAATTAAAACTTGTTTCATGTATTATTTAACAGCTCATGTCTATTTATAACATCAATTAATTGTTTTTCTCAGTTTTTTTGATTATTTTCTATTGATTTCAAACTAAGACCGCATTTTTCATCAGGGTGACAGTGGAAGAAGAGACGTTTAGTATGATTGAGGATGGCAAAGTGAATGTGATTGCAGAGAGTTCTGATCAGGGCAGCCCCGGTCATCCATCCCATACATATAAGAATCCAAAAAATGACAATAATGAGTTCCCAGCTAAATTCAAAGGAATTGTGCCGCAGCCAAACGGGCATTGGGGGGCACAAATCTATGCAAACCACCAGAGGGTTTGGCTAGGAACCTTCAAATCTGAGGTTGATGCTGCCATGGCCTATGACAGTGCATCCATCAAGCTTCGTATAGGTGACAACCGCAGACACTTTCCATGGGCTAACATCACTGTTCATGAACCTAAATTTCAAAGTTTTCATAGTACAGAAGCTATTCTGAACATGATCAGAGATGGATCCTATCCGTCCAAATTTGCAGATTTTATGAGGAGCCAAATGGGAGAACTTGAAATAGGTCACAAGATAATGAGGATGCATGGCCATGCAGGCTTTTCTTGTAAGCTACTTTTTCAAAAGGAACTCACGCCAAGTGATGTAAGTAAGCTGAATAGGCTTTTTGTCCCAAAGAGATATGCAGTTAAGCAATTCCCTCCGGTTGTTGAAAACACCGATGAAAACACAGATGGTGGGAAGTTAGATGAGGTGCATCTCTTTTTCTATGATAGGTTGATGAGTTTGTGGAAATTTCGGTATTGTTACTGGAAAAGTAGCCAGAGTTTTGTCTTCACAAAGGGTTGGAATAGATTTGTGAAGGAAAAGGAATTAAAGGCGAATGATGTCATTGCTTTCTACGTATGTGAGTGTCAAGAAAGAGCCAAAGAAGCTCAGGCTTTCTGTGTAATCGATATAGGTTACAATGGGGGCTCAAGAAATGATAGGGCGGTTGAGGGGATTGGCCAGAATGTTGATATGCAAGTAGATCTATGTCGCGGGTTTGGGCAATATTTTGACTGTAAGTTATTTAAGGAAGAGAAAGAAGAGTTTGGGGATCAAAAGGTGATTGCAGGACTGGTGGAAGCACCAAATGTGAAAAAAAAGTGTAAGACTTTTTGGTGTTGACATCAATTGAGTCAATTATTTTTGTAGGGCCATTTCTGTTTTCTTTTTTCTTTTTATTGTTCCAAGGTTGTAGTCCTTAATATGGTTGATTATTCATGCTAAGGTTGGATTCTTCAACAGGTTCCACTGATTGGATTCTTCAACAGGTTGATCTCTTTTTCTTTTTAACAAGTGGGTCCTTCCATATTTCCGCAAAGATGGTCATAGCTGGCATAGAAAGAACGATGGGAGAGCTGTTGGTGAAGCGCATGAGCGGCTCAAGGTTTGAAACCAAATGTCAATACAAGTCATGTACTAACTGTTTTACAAAATTGTTATTTGTATAAATAAAAAAAAAATAGGGCACAGGAAGTGACTTTTATGTAGAGTCAAGATCAGCTCTGATGGAGAATTGCTGGCTAGCTTTGTGCATTGTATAAGCATTTACGATGATGGCTCTCTTTTTACGTTGTCCAAAAGTTTCTTTATTTGGAAACCAAATTAAATGCATTCATCAAATGGTTCTCGAAGATTCTTGGCCTATTTTGGCAATTAGAAAAATAAATAAATAAATAAAATTTAATTTATTGATTTATTTGAATCACATTATTTTTTTACTTTTGTGCATTTTTTTTTTTTAATAAAAAAAAGCCAAAAAACCCAATAAAATAACTTTTTTCCTAATTCCCAAAACAACCTAGATGTCTTTGTTTCAAGATATTATAAGTTAAAGGACTCTCTACTCTAGTGCTGTGTTTGGTAGAAAGGAAAGGAAGAGTTATAATATACTTTACCTGAGTTTCATTTGTGATCCTTTATTACTTTTTCTGAATCTTTAATTTATTAAGGAAAACAAAATTAACTAAGCATATTCTGTGTGTTTTTTAAAATGACCAAACAAAAATGTACATACTTTTTTGACAAATGCCTCTTAATTTTCTTCTCAATTTTTCTAAAAATTCAAAACCTATTTTCATTTTCAGAAAACCATGAGAAACATTTTTAATCCCTTAGTTGACAGAAAACCATGAGAAACATTTTTAATCCCTTAGTTGACGCTCTCAATCGGAACTAAGTATTGATTCCTTCTCTTTTCTGATCCGCTCCAACCACCACCCACTGCTTATCACCACTACCACCACTACCGACCATCACCTCTTTTCTCATCCGCTCCAACCACCACCCACTGCTTATCACCACTACCGACCATCACCTCTGACCACCGTGGTCTGACTTCCTCCAGCAATCACTTCCATTTGTGATGGTCGACCAACTTCTAATGGCCAACCACCAACTACAACAGCCGACAACTACTTTCAGTTACCACCTCTGTCCTAAACCATTCATGTTTGATACGCAATATAGAGAAGAGGGGTTTGAGGGAAGGGGGATAGTTAATACTGAAACCACCATTTGGTTGGAACAGTTTGGCAACAAGGTCTTTCAAGTCCAAAATATTTTGTCAATTCAATTCGAAATTATCAACACAAGCATATTTGTAAAATCAAACATAAAAGAGTGCAAAAAATAGAGCAGAAAAGTGCCGAAATCAAGCTTCGGGTGCAATGTTCCATCACTCATAACTACAAAAATACAAATCACTACAAATTTTGAAGAAAAGGGTCAATCAGACCGGTTCATATCAGACCCCGAGAATGATCATAAATTAGCCAGCACATAAACGACTTCAACGAATAAAACATAACCACGTGATCATCATGAAGAAATCAAAAGATATACCATTGGTTTTGAGTTCATAGCTAGTATTCAACAAATCCCACTCTACTCGGGGGATCTACTCACAAATCAAAACTTTCTGCAAATGCAAAACGAGGTACAGATCTTTTTCCCCACGGAGAAAATTACACATAATAATGATGAGGATTCATACACTCAAACTTAACAATCAGATTCATCGTGAATAGGTTAAATATGTGTGTATATCTCTCACTTCTTCCCACCACCAGAAACATTAAACTTGAAAAATATGACGTCTCCGTCTTGTACCACATATGTTTTCCCTTCCTGTCTATACTTCCCGGCAGCCTATGCAAAAATAAAAAAATAAAAATTATATGCAAATAAATAAAATAAAATCAAAAAAGGTTGGACTAATGGAAGAAGTAAATGGTCTATAATAAAGGGAAGGAATTGAAAGCTAAATTTATAAACAAGTTACAGAAGGCATAGGACTAATGAGGGTCACAGCACAACGATTTTTTTTTTTTCAATTATGTCGCACGTTTTTTACTGTTTAGGTCCATCTAGACTAGACAACCCTAAAAATCAAAAATAAAAAAAAAAATTCAATCACAAAGACAAATAAGCCAAATTTCATTGAAAAAGCCTATAAAAAATGGCTTTGGCCCTGTTTGGTACAGCTTTTTTTCAGCTTATTTCAGCTTTCACCTTAATTTAAGCTATTTTGATGTGTTTGGTTTAGCTTAACAATGCAGCTTATAGTTTTTTGTAAGTCAGAAATCAGCTTATTCTTTGAGTGGGGCAGGAGAAGCTTAATTTATAAGTCAGAAATCAGCTTATGTTCATATTTATAAGCTATAAGCTGTTAAAGCATAAGCTATAAGCACTTTCCCACGGCGCTACCAAACAGGGCCTTTTTTTTTTTTTGGGAGTACCCTGCCACGTGTCGAGGGGGGGGGTGTTCTATATTGACCTATCAAAAAAATCTATTTTAATTTTTTTTAAGGATCATCTAGTCTAAACAAGACCTGCAAAGTAACATATTTAGACGAGTTCAAAAAAAAGTTAAAAAAATAAAAAGAGAGTTACAATAGCTATATCTGCAAATCGTCAAACAAATGGCATAGGACACGAAAATGTAACCATTATTTAGTTAAGTATTGAATTAAAGCACACCTTAACAGCCGGTTCACTGCCGAGTTCCTTCAGATCTTCAAATTTCATCACCTGATTATTGTCACAAATTCAAAGTTAGCACTTTCTAGCAGTTCCACAGAAGTATCAAATAGAAGAGATGAAAAGCTACAAACCAACAATATTATTTGGTGTTTTTAAGATGATAACAAGGAATTCATCTTTTAAACAGAACAAAACAACACTGGATTATGCACTTTGAAGCATTTTAAGGAGAGCAATATATTACAATCACATTGGTTTTATTCCATGCAAAGTTTTTCAAGTAGTCTCACTGGCAAACATATTATGTAAACATATTGGAAGATATTCCTAGATGTCAATTCTGAATCCTCATAAAGAAACAACAGAAAGTAAAGAGTAAAAAAAAAATCAATGAACTGCCAATGCAACTTCTTAAAATATCATGAAAGAGAAAAAACCAATAAGACAACAAAATGTAGACAGTTTAAAAGAGGGAAAAAACGGTTGAAGGAATTACCTCAGCACAGATAAACCCTTTCTCAAAATCAGTATGAATCGTCCCAGCAGCCTGAGGAGCCTTTGTCTGCCGTCGAATTTGCCAACATTTCACCTGCAAAAAAAAAGAAAAGAGAAGTTAAACAGTCACATTCAATTATAAAATCATCCAAGCAGTGTTGTAACTTGTAAGTCAGTAATAATTGGAAAGACACATCCATGCAAGTGCAAGAAGCATTATCAGTAAAAAAAAAAAGACCACTTATGGTGCTTTTGTAAAAAATAAGTCACCCAAGATAGATAAAGGATACGTGCGCTGTTGTACAAGGACAAGCATTTTGATGTTATGTCTGGGAAATGTACCGCATCCCTTGGGGCAATAATGTGGAACATGAACTGAAAACTAAAATGCACAGAATCCGATCCAAGAATGAAGAATTAAGTAATAGAATTGAGGGGAAAATGAAGCTCAGAAATAAATCATTAATCATTTGTCTGCAGCAATTCACTCTCTTTCAAAAACTAAGGCTGTGATTGGATCATGAATTTGAGAAAGGATTTGCAAAACGAAAGGAAAAGAGACGGGAAAAGTGAAAGAAAAAAAAAACTTATATTTCGTTCACTTTTCCTTCCCTTCGTAATCCATGATCCAAACACAGCCTAAGAGATTGACTTATTTGAAGACGAGAGTTGATTTAGACAGGTACAACTTCGCACTCTCAGTTTCTCTCTCTTGGAAGGGAGAAGGAGAAAGGGATGAGGATCATCACTCATGCAAGGCAGTTAACGGCAACAAAGTGCAAGCAATGCTTCCAGCAAACTCTATAGAAACAAAGAAACAAAAAGAACTGAACAGGAACAGGAACTATTCAGGTAAATATATTACCTCATCAGGGCCAGCTGTGAAAAAGTATATGAGGTTAATTGCTGAGAATCCAGTCTTTATGATCTTTGTTAGGGCACTGTAGCAAAGCCAGTTCAGGATAGCTCAGACATTAATAAAATCTAGATTTCATTCAATAAATCAGAATTCTAGACTCTTTTTCCACCAGTTTTTTTAAAATATATATATATATAAGAAAACTATTATGAAGTGAAAACAAAAGGTTAATATTTATATGGCAAAACACAGCAAAAACATAATTATAATTTTGATCGTACATTGAACTTGAAGATGGTTAATGAAAAAGAGTGATGTTAAAGATCATGAAAAAAATATCATGAAATGCTTCGTGAAGATTTTTCATTTTTGATTAGTGTGTGGTGTTTTATTGTGTGCGTAATCCAAGGGTGGAGAATCTTCATGAACCATTTCATATTTTTTTTTATGATCCCTAGCATTACTCAAATGGAAAAAGCGCTATAAGAAATTGATTTTGTTCTGCACATCCATACATCCATATACATATATGTGTGTGTATACAGGGTAGTTTTAACACTATTTAGCATCACAATTCTCAACTTGAATTCCAACAACATGGTTGAGTTATAGGATAATCATTTGTAAGGAAAGAAAACACAGAAAACATAAAGCAAGTAAATATTTAGAAGGTCATTTCACTGTCACATTCTAACTAATTAAAGGATGCAATGATGATTGGAAATTATAAACCAAGGGATAATTATTTCATTTTGTGAGTTTAATCTGTACGACATACTGGCAATTATGAAAACATCAAAACTTTACAGAAAAATTGCTTTCATATATTGCTTCAAATGCATTTCTGGAAACCAGAATTGCAGAATAAACAGATCTGGAGAATTACTTTCTGATATTTCCCTAATGCACCCCACATTCAGAAATATTTTGTTTTGAATCTTTTGTAATGTTTTGAAGTCTTAGAAATTTCATTTTATATCTTTCCCATTTTTAAAAGTTTTTTGAAGGAAATTTAAAAAAGGATGTAAGAGTAAACAACAATTATCAGAACGTTTTGATTGACTGCAAGGCAGCAAAAAATTGCTGTGAATGATGATTGACAAAGAAAGCATTAGACCGGTCCTTCAAACTGAAGCCAGCTAGAGTTTATCTTCAGTCAGAGCAAAACCACTCTCCAGCTCATGAAAGGTAAACAAAAGCACCAATACTTTGCCCATCATGTCCAATGTGACAAAGTGGTTCAGTTTGTTGTTTAAGCAAAGAAATTACACAGTACACTAACATTGGCACCACACAAAAGTTTACAATGAACACACGAATTTGCAGTCATCAATTCCCAAATTTGTTTATGTTTTGCAAAGACATAATCTTCTAGATCATTGTTATTCCGTAAAATGGTAGAAGCTCCACAACATTTCAACCAACCAGAAATCCATGTTGGTAAGGAGTTCCCAATGTTGGGACTAACCTTTGCAACTTGTTCTCCTCGCAATACTTTGCAACTTCATCTTCTGGCATATCAGCAAGATTTTTCTCTAACACACAGCTGAAAGGGATAATTGGTTCACCCCCATGCTCCTGCACCCTAGAAAATTTGAAGCAAAACAAATCTTTATTTAAAATAAATAATAATAAATAAAAGCCAAAAAAAAGTACATAAAAAATAAAAAATAATAATAAAAAACAGAAAAAAGAAGGAAAAATAAAAAAGAGATTAAATTCACTTGTAGCTTACATAAGGGAGAGCAAAAAGGTAATTGAATGGCAACACCATTAACCCATTACAGACGGATGCAATTAAGTAGGTCAAAAAGCTTCCTTAGACAACCAAGAAATGATACTTAAGGTCAATTTCTTTCTGCATCATAGTATGCAGAAAGACTCTCCAAGTGTTAAATGTGTTACATGCAGTCTGGTCAAATAAAATAGCTGAGTGAAGGTCTAGACCATGAAGACTGGACAACTGACTTGAGAACCAAACAATAGGAGTTTTGAGTACTTCAAAGTACTGCTGTCCAACAATCAACCCTGCATGGTTCATGTTTAGGTCTTACAAAGGCAGTGCCAAAGCAGGAGGTATATTAAATACAAAAGCAGTTTGGAAGATTCAGATGGCATCTATCCCATAAGAAAGGCAGATTTCCACAACCTAGACACGAGAGACAGTAATAATTAATCAAAGCCTATTCTGTAAAAGCTGCAAATAACCTTCTCCATTTATAGTTTCAATTCTGTTGATTGACAAGGAACAAACAGCGAAAAAAGGTTAATATACAAAATCATATAACCAAATAATAGAACATGGATACCAAATTGACATGTTGTAGAAAGCAACATCTATCCAAACATCTCACTCATAAGTCAATTGGGTTCAACATGAATTGGTCTTAGTTGGCTCTGTCAAAAACCATAAACTATATTAATTCCAAAACAATCCTAAAAAAACTGTAACTAGTCAACCATTTTACTCGAGAGGAAGAGGGTGTCTCAAATGTGTATTCAATCTGTTGAGGTGACACAAGAATATGTAACTGACTTTAACCAACAAGTACAAGCATTAAAATTCAAAACCGTAGGAGTTAAAACAACAAATCCAAGCATGAAAATTTAACACTGCAGATATAACTCAATTATAAGTATCCTATTACACCACATTCTTTGACAAGTATTAAACAACTCTCTCCTGCTCAAAGATTGTGAATGGTATTCTAGTCTTTACATTTTTCAACTGCCAATTTATTGATTATTCTTCCTTATGACCTAGACAGATGCGCATATAGGGGTGTGCATGGGTTGGTTTGGTTAGAGTTAGCACTAAATCCAGAATCGAACCAGTTCTCCACTAGAACCAAACCAATCTGATTGGGTTCATTATTTTTAGACCCTAAACCACCGAACCAATGTATTGAAAAAACCAACCCAACCCAACCCATAGAGGTTATGTTGGTTCAGTTCTTGGGTTTTCTAGGTCTCTGGTGCATCACACATGGAGTTTAACACATGTGCATAAAAAGAGGCAGAAATAATACTAACATGGCATAGAACTCACCAAGCATGAATTTTAGGTAGAAACTTGTTCTTTTTTCTCTGATAATCTTTTTCATTCATGTTAACCTGCATTGCATATGCATGATACTGGTCAAAATCCATAATCACACCAAATTCCCTTTTGTGATGAATAGCGAGTTTCATTTGAAAAAGAAAGGGGAAAAACTGAAGCCCCACAAAAACCACAAAATTTACAAACCATGTGATTAAAACTGTTTATGAGAAAAATGAAAAAATGTCTAGGAATATTTATTTTCCTATTCTACTTCATTTCTAACAATAGGATTATAGCCCAAATTGTGTGCTTTATGGTCATAATCACAACTTCACCAACATGACAAAAGAACAAATGTTGACATAAGAGAAAATTCTGGCTATGAGCTGTCACTAGAATTTCATTTACAGAATCATCTTATAAAAACCTCAACTGTCATGATGGGGCATGAGGATGATGCAGATTTGCAATATTTGTTGGTTTCACCAGAAGAGCCTAATTCCAAGACATATTGCTAAAAGGAAATAAGGAAGCAGAGTATCAAGAACTCATTCTCTCTTCAAGACTTGATGGACTGTCCATTGGGTGTTTGTCATAATTATACACAGCATTCAATTAGTGCAAAATCTTCAAATTACCTCTTTGCTTAATGTTCAACAAATAAATCCATTATATTTCAGTCATAACTTGATCTAAAAGAAGGCCCATGGACCCATATTACAGCCCATGTCCAACAAATACAAAAATTTACTAAAATACTCTCGAGTCCTAAATATCAACAAAACATAATAAATCTGATTAATAGCAATAATAAACTAAAATTAGCACACACACACACACACACAAAAAAAAAAAAATTAAAAAAAATCCAAATCAACCTAAAACTTAATTAGACAAGGGCCTGTTTGGTGTAGCTTTTTGTAAGCTGAAAGTTAATTGTAGGATCAAGCGCTTACCATCTCACCAAAACCCATAGGTAGTAGTGAAGGCGGTAAGGCGCCAAGCGCCACAAGTCGACTGTGACTCAGTCTCAACCTGGACCTCTACCAAGGCAAGATGCTAGCCCAAACCTAGGCCAACAATAATCAAAAACCAAAAGCTAGAAGCACCCCTCCATCTACTTCCCAATAATGGGGCTTATGCTACAAGCATGGTTGACGGATATAGTGGTCAGCCGGAAACTATTCTTGTCATAATGAGCAGATAACACCTTTGTTTTTTTTTCTTTTTTTTTTTCTTTTTTTTTTTTTAATATAAATAGAATGAACAGATAACTTACCAAGTAAACAACAGGTTTGGCAGAGAGCAATTGAAAAGTATTTAGTATCTCAATATCAGCAGCTTTCCATTCACCTAGACGGACGTCTTTTCCCTGCTCTATCCATGCTTTGACCTGTGGAAACAAGGTCATTCAATTTCTTGCCTTTTTGACAACTCAATTCAACTCAACAAAGCCGTGTTCCAGCTACTTGGGGTCAGCTACGTGAATCCTATTTTTCCTTTTCGATTACCTCTATATTAAATGTGATGCACTTATCCACAATTATTCAAATCATGGTTCCATGTGTCAAATTGTGTACGAGTCAGCAAAAATGGCATACAAGAGCTCTTCTCATTAATATTGTCTATTCTCATCATATAGAGTCCAATAAAATTTCATGGGTAATGAAAGTGTTCAACAAAAAGTGTACTATTTCATTACATGAGATACATTTATTTAATTTTAAGAATCAAAATTTTAAGTGGCAGTCTTAAAAATGCTTTCTCTAATTATCTCATGCCTTATGCAATTAATGGCTCAAGATAGATCCCCTTCTTACAGTTCAGCCCTTGTGTAGACCTGTTTCCCATTTTGGCTGATCCATAGTTTTATTTCATATGCATCTTGCACATACTTCCTTTTAGCAGTATTAGAACCTCAAGGTCATCAAGAAGAAAAAAAAAATTGAGCAAAACAAAAGAGACCATTTATTATCTTTAATCTTTATACATAATGCCATAAAGCTATTTAGATAAAGAGTTGCAAAAAAGGCGGCCCAATTCAGTAAATATAGAATATTGGTTAAGCTACCCTTTAAAAAAAAATCTGACAAAAGCAATGCCAACATGAAAAATGTCAAGGTAAAAGACAAACCAAATATTAGCTTCAAAGCATTGGAGGTGATACGCACATCTCCATCTCTCACCTCCCTAATAATAAAATTTGTTATTTTGTATAGCATTTTCCATAAAACGGCGTCTACCTATTTTCTTGAGAAACATTTTGCGAGAGAGAGAGAGTATATAGTGGGAAAGATACAAAATATATATATATTATTTTGTTTCATTCAGAAAATGAACTGCAGGGCTACAATTTCTTAATTAACTAACCTGAGTAATTAATTTTTGTTCCTCATATATGCAACATATTACCCATTCAATGGTTTATCTAACAAAAAAATTGGAATCACGCTTTTAATTCATAAGACAAAGAAATTCAACAGGTTATTCATAAATTCCTCAATGACATTTAAAAAATAAATAAATAAAAACCTATACGGATAGTACCAAAAAAAAAGAAAAAAAAAACCCTTTTGCGGCACTTTCTTTTGTTAATAAAATTTTCTTACAACAAAAATGTGGATAGTGGGAACTGGTTCAGTAATTAAAACCCGGTATACTAATCTTTGAGGTTGTGGATTCAAGATTGAGGGTAGCAACTTTGTGCAAATTATGCCAAAGATTAGGTGTATACTCAATCTACCATACCCAAATCCCCATCCAATGGGTACTAAACCAAGCATACTATATAAGAAATGTGGAAAGGCACAAAAAGTAACCTGACAAACTGGACATACATGCAATCTGATACAACTAACAATGCAAGGGAAGACTTACCAAATTTTAAAAAACATGCATAAAGCCATAATTCTTTTATGGAACAGTTACGAATTCTAGTATAAGTCATTATACTATGGTTAGCTTGTTCAATCACATTGAGCATCAACAAAATTCAATCATAAACCATAGAAGTCAAAAGGAAATGTGATAAAAGCATAAAAGCACTTGATGAGTGTCATGTAATTGTCATTTATTAAAAAAATTACAATTAATTTGCATTGAATTGGGTGTATGATTATATGAGTGTTATGTAGTATCATTAATATTTCAAATACTTCAATGGAGAAAATGGATCAGTATGCACTACACCTGTGACTATTATGACAACAAATAAAAATTGCAGATAAAAGCAAAACAATTGTCCAAAACAAATAATTCACAAACCCTTTGGCACAATTCAAGTTCTATCTTCAACTGCTTGTCATTGCTCCTCTTCATGCTCTTTTCAACGTCCTCAATCTTCCTTTCCATGAATTCAAGGTCCTTAACTTGCATAAAGCATGGAAGACAAGGTCATCAAAGGAGATCATAAATCACTTGGATGAGGACTAAAAACCATCATAAGATTGTAATGCAATGCATGCAATGCAAACAAGGCAAAATGCTCATATTTTAATATGAACTAGACCAATTATCAGAAGTCAAGGCCAATCTCCCTCAACTGTGTACCATTTATACGGCTACCACAAAACCAAATTGAAATCCCAATGAAAAAGTGACCCAATCTTTCCCTCTTCCTTGCTTATGGTCCATTTGGGAAGCCGCTATTTAGCCAAAAAGTCAAAAAGTGCTCATAAAAAAAAAAAAAAAAACAATGAGACAGTAAACCAATTAAAGAGATGTAGCGCAGCTTGGTAGCGCATTTGTTTTGAGTTCAAAATGTCACGGGTTCAAATCCTGTCATCCCTACCTGTTACTTCTCCGTTGAGCAGTAACGAGGGATTATTGGTAACATATTGAATTAATAAAAACATTTTTCTATTTTAGACTTGAATTCAAATAGAATAGAAGAGAAATGAATATGATAATCTAGAACAAGTTTTATTTGGATAAGATTCGTTCCCTTCCATTCTACTTTTTCCATGTTTTCCCATAAAAAAAACAAAAAAACAAAACAAAAAGTTCTTCCTAAACATATCGGTTTTTCACCTCATATTATAGCCAAAAAGCCACTTTCCAAACGGGCCCTTAGTAAACTTGAAGTTGCACTTGACATGGCACGTGACAGGAACAAAAACTTCAAAGAGATTTTAGTGAGGAGTTGTTGCCTGTGTGTGAATCATGTAAAATACATTTTATACATCACATCAAAGTCAAACCCCTCATGTGCTCTAATGTCTACACATGCTTGAGTTCATTCCTAACTTTCATCAAGTCCACAAATACAACATAGCCATATTGATATTCCACTTGACATCATAACTAATTTGCCACCATCACCAACAGAAAGATTTACTAGCTATGCTTAGTTGCACAATTAAATGCTCCTTAACACAAGAAAATGGCACATGTAATCAAAACTGGAGCTTTCTATACAAAACTCATGATCAAAATCCAGCATAAACCATACCTTAAGCCGTAATTCTTCAGTAATAACCTCTAAATCCCTCACAGGATCCACAATATCATCAACATGAATGATATCTGGATCTTCAAATGCACCTAAAATACATAGTACAAGTGAATTATTTGATGGTAACACTTGATAAATGAACAAGTTGATGCTGTAGAGCAGATAATCAAAGCGAGTTCCCAATTAATCCCCAAAATTATTGCAGCGGCACCCAACACAATAACTAGGAACAACAAAATTGTTCAGTAAGAATAACATCGAGAAATTGTAAGGCAATGTCTTAGCAAAAGAAATAGCTACAAGATATAAACTACTGAAACCATTCACGCTCCTTTGAATCCAGATGACTTATATAGCAGTATACAGGGATTGAAACCATAAGGGCTTATTAAGCAAGTATAGGAAAAAAAAATCATTGGTCCAATGAGAAAATTAGACAACAAAGCTTATATGATACTTGCTCCATCCCATTTTGTGTCATGGTTGACCATGCAGGCATTAAATGAGAGATTTACAAAGATGCCTCTATTCTATTTGAGTAACTCTTTTGGGAATAGGATTGGACTTGAATACAGTATTTTGAAAAGCACACCTTAGTGAAGACTTATGAGAGAAAAGCAAGGTCAGGCAAAGCCTCAAGGCCTCAAGGCAACTTCAACCAAGTTGAATACTCTTTTGGCAAAGCAAGAGATATTGTGGCCACTGCTGGGGATAAAATTATTTGTTGAATAGTTGATCAATTCTTTTTCTTTTTTATGCTTCCAAATGTTAAACATTTGAAATATTAGTTTTGTTGGACATTGATATTTGGAATCTTAAATTTTGTAGGATGTTTTATTTTTTATGAATATTTAATATTTGGACTGTTGGATGCATCATACTTTGTGTAATTATTGAGCTTTTTTTTGTTTATGTTATCTATTTTTTTAAAATATATCCTCACTGTTTGCCTCACTTTGATGAAGCCACTGTCTCGTCTCGTCGCCCTGTGTTTAGGCCTTATTGCCTCGATTCACTTTTCACCTCAAATATAAATTTCAAGAAGGGTAATATGGAAAATTCATGATTTTTGACAAATAAGACAGGATTAGCAAAATTTGATAGTGAGAGACAGAATAGGATGACAAGGGAGCATAAACTACTCCAAAATTCAGATCATCCATGTCTTCAATAAATGGGACTGCCAAAAATGGAAAGGCAGATGCATAAAATAGGAGAGAGGGAGTATAAACTAGTCCAAATTCCAGTTCATTAATGTGTTTAAACAAATCTAACACTGAAATAGAACAAGAAGAATTATGTTCAACAAATATGGATAAATATAAACAGAAAATAATAAAAACAACAGACGGACGATAATAACTATATGGCATGAATGAAGAAAAGAATACTATGTTTTGACTCCTCAAATATGTATTACAGAAACTCATTGAAAATAATGACCAAGATGATTAGATGTAATAGCAAAAGAACAAATATAGGGAACTGTACAAAAAAGATGAGCATCTCACGTAAAACATGAAAAATGCCATCAACTGCACGAATGTGAGACAAAAAACTGTTCCCCAATCCTTGTCCTTCATGAGCACCTCGAACAAGTCCAGCTATGTCATGAATTTCTAAGAAAGCTGATACCTGTCCAAAAACAAAATAAGTCAGGAAAGAAATACACTATTAAAATCAGCAAACCAAAAATACTTTATGATGTAGAACTATTACAGATCTCTACAATATTCTGGTTTAAAAAGCGCACAACATCTGTAATTGAAACATTACAGTTTAAAAGTCTAGTCATAAACCTGATTCTTTGGCTTGTACAGTTGGCAAAGCCATTCAAATCGCTCATCAGGAACATTAACTCGTGCCTCATTGGGCTCAATGGTACAAAAGGGAAAGTTCTCCGCTGGTATGGACAACTTTGTGAGTGTGTTAAAAAGAGTAGATTTGCCCACGTTTGGCAATCCAACCTGAAATACAATCAATAAGAACAATAAGCTCAGCATTTAGATTATAATGCAACTTAAGTATATTCCTGATGTGACCAGTAAAGAAAGGCAAGTGCTTGGAACTACAAAAGCCAATGTTGTCAACTCAGTTTGAGGTGTTGCACCATTAAACAATTTGATGCAGTAAGAATGCTTGGATGTTTAGTCACAAATGAAAGGTAATTTGAGCATTTTACCACACAGGACACTGATTAAAATTACTAGTACTACAAATTTCTGAAATGTGTAGTCTCAAATTTTCAAAACCATCTGTAAGACTGTGATGTGACACTAACAATGGATTCCATTATGCACAATGCAAACCTTTGCGACAAGGGATTACTCAAATTATGTATAAAACATAACAAGGCATTCAAATTTTGTTAAACATGCAACAGCCCTAAATAGTTTGAGGGATGTTTCAATTACATTTCCAGAAATTTTAGGGTCTGGTGCATCTGTAAATTCTTTCTTAGAAACTCATATCCAATTGAGTAACATCAACAGGCCCAGAGCATCTAAACACTCCAAGATGCCCAAAACAAAATAAAAAATAATATCCCTGTTAACATCCCCTTCCAACCAGTACTACAGACCTTCAAACACATTGACAAAATTGAGGTTTACAAAATATTAGGACATCTTAGGGTGTCTTCTTCAATTAGAAAGGGATCAAGGCCCTATGCACACAACATTGCAATGTAATATATATATCATCTTCAATATAGGTGATAAGGTAAATAGTGCATATATCATATTTTGAACTGTTTGATCGTTTTTAGGTTTCTTTGGAATGAGACCATTCAAACCTCTTAACTAGGCTGCCCATTTTCACAAATGTTTCAGGTGAGGTTCCTACATTTACATGCCGTGTAAAAACAAATGCTACCATTCCAATTCTAGGGGATTCCTAACAATAAAACTACCGCGACCAAATTTAAGTACCAAATTCAGATACCAACTAATGTGTAACCAATACAATGGTATAAGATTTTAAAGGTGGGCCCATGAAACCAAGCATTTATACACATAGATGGTATTGCATTCAAAAATACAGTGAAAATCCACAAAGTTCAAAAAGTTCCAAACGATTGTAAAATTTTACATGATGATTTTAGTGCCAATTTATTTATGGACTATTTACAGTGCAGTTCAGAAACTAGCAAATTGTACAGGACTATTTCACCTTCCTTCTGCACATTGAAAAGGTAACCCAAAAAAGTTCAGTTTATAGAAACAGGCCAATCAAACCACAAATTTTCCAAAGAACTTAGGGGGAAAATAAAGAAAGAAAGAAAAAAAATCATCAAATGAATTCAGTTAAACAAAGGGAAAATTGAAAATCAGTACATGTTTTCAAACTAAATTCAAATTAGTGGTAAACTTTACTAACTTTAATATTTAAAACTATAAACTTTTTCATGAATTTGTAAAGATTTTGTGAAGTTACCACTGATTTGCAATTTTCACAGTTGAAATAAGGATTAATCCTACAAGAAACTAGAATGTGAAGCACTAAACTCAATACAATTTCAAAAATAAATAAATAATTAAATTACAAAGCTAAAAGTAGAAATTCTAGTACCTTTCAAGACCTGTAATTCTCAGCAACTAACGCAAGATTTTTAATTTTTTCATAATATATATTTTCATTTCGCTTTCAACAATTTCTCACAACCAAATTCAGCGATAAATGAGAAATGAGAGAGAGCTTACAATCCCAATCTTGAGGTGAGATGAGAATCGGCCAAGGATAGGCCTCTCGGCAGGTGCTTCCTTCGATTTAGCTGACTTCGGAGGCATATTTCTTTCAACGATCTGATGTGTGTGTGTGTGTGTGTGTGTGTGTGTGTGCGTGTGTGTGTGTGTGTGTGTGTGAGAGAGAGAGAGAGAGAGAGAGAGAGAGAGAGAGTTCTAGGGTTTGGATCGAGAAGAATCAGAGTGTTCAGTGTTCTAGGGTTTCTAAGAAGATGACACTCCACTGAGTCAGCTCAACGAACCTTCGTGTGTTCAATGGGTTGTGTTGTAACTCAAGGCCCATGGGCATATTTTTTATGTCGAGCTATGGGCCTCCTTTCATTTTATTTATTTTTTTCGACGAACTGCCCTTTACCTATATAGTAGGACCACGTGCGGTTTACACCGTAATATTTAAAAATAATTACATAATTTTTTTTATAAAATATACCATTAAATTTATTAACAATTTAATAAAAGAGGTTTAAAATACCCATGTGAGGATAGTTTTACAATACTCTTTAATTTCAAACAAGTTCTTGAAAGATTCTCGCTCCAATACCTGAAAAAAGAAAGTATTCCAGTCGGTGTACTGAAATTAACCCTCCGATGAGTAAGTCAGTATTTTTGAAGAGAGGAAGAAGTCCTTGCACTTCTTAAAGTGTAAACATACCTTTCCATTCACCATTACTCTCTTTTTATGGACATTTTCCTAAATATTTTCTCTTGTGGCTTTCATCATTGTCATGTCAGAACCTACACCCTTACTATACTTTTAGAAATGGACAGCTTGAGCCTACTTAAAGTGGATCATTATGCTGAGCGCCCTTACTTATTCAGCCCCAATACTAACTCTACATCTTGTACTCGAAATGTATTTCGGCCATTCTTTGGATTTACTCGACAATAAACTGTTTGAACTTAGTGGGCTTGCTAAGTTTGGCCCATCTTGGATGGGTTTGGATGTGCCTCATTTGCCAACTAGTAAGTCTAATTATTTGACTCCCATGACTCATGTATTTTCGTCATTTGTTTGAAAGACAAAGTACACTTTAACCTTGATATTTTATTTTATATGCGATTTACCCCTTTGAACTTTGAAAATCAGCGTATGATCCCTTAATATTTGTCACGTCGCACTTGCTGTTAAGTTAAACGAAATGTTCAATGATGCACTTCAGTTTATAAATCACGTAAGGGTTATATAGTCATTTCTAAACATCAGAGAGGTAAACCACACATGATCCAAACCACAGGAGGTACAGTGAAGTTTGACCATTATTATTTATTTATTTATTTTAAAAAACTCTATTCATATATAAAAATCATTTTAAAAAAATTACGTGACAATTTCATTTTTGTCAATAAACTTATCTTTCTTAAGTAGCGTTTGGTAACGTTTACGTTTTTGGTTTATGTTTACAAAAATTTTATAAACTGGTTTTGTTTATTTTAAGAAAAACATAAATTACAAACGCGTTTGGTTTGAATAAAATGTTTAAAAAAGTTTAAAAACATAAACTAAAAAATATGTTTGTTCAGGCCTCAAATATTTATATTTATATTTATTTTTATTATTTATGACAATGGGATCACACACATCATAATTGAAAAAAAATTAATTAAAAAAAACTATTGGAAAAAAAATTATTTGAAAGAACTTAATTAAAAAAATAATTGAAAAAAAAATTAATTGGGAAAAATTTATTTGAAAAAAATAATTGAAAAAAAAGTTATTTGAAAAAAATTAATTGAAAAAAAAAATTGAAAACTGAAAAGGTAAACTCATTTTTTGAGTTTATGTTTTTTCCTCAAATTTATAAACTGAGACAACCATTTATAAACCAAAAAAATTATCAAACAAGTTTTTATGACAGTTTTTTAAATTTTTGGAAATATAAACTGAAAACTGATGGCAAGTGGCGGTAAGTGGCGGCGGAAGACAGTTGTGGAAAGTGGTGACGGTGGGTGGTGGGTAGCTCGTGGTGGTGGGTGGTGGGTGGTAGTGAGTGGGAGGTGGTGGTGGTGGTGGTGATGGCGGGTGGCAGGTGGTGGTGGCAGGTGGGTGGCGGGTGGTAGCAAGTGGGTGATGGTGGTAGTGGTGGTGGCGGCGGGTGGGTGGTGATGGTGGGTGGGTGGGTGACGGTGGTGAGTGGTGGGTGGTAGCGAGTGGGTGGTGGTGGCAGGTGGGTGGCGGGTGGTAGCAAGTGGGTGATGGTGGTAGTGGTGGTGGCGGCGGGTGGGTGGTGTTTTGAATACCATCCCCGGCCCGTCGGAGGTATTTTTCGGGAAAAAACCACTCTTATCGGGGACGGGGGGTCGAGTCCCCGTCGGGCCGGGTTCAAATTGTCATCCCTAGATATTATGGATGAATATTTTATTATTTTGGGATAAATATTTTTGTTGGTGATGGATATGGATGAATATTTTAATATTTTATATTTTATATAGGGAGAGAGATTGAGAAGGCTTGAAGAGTGAGAAGAAAGAAGAAAGATAGTGCCACATAATATTTTTTTTTTCTTCAAAATTATGAGAATTTAGAATTCAAGTTTTGGAGCCTTTTGACTTAACAACTACATTTGATTATATATATAAAATAAAATATAGATAGATATAGATAGATAAACAAATATTAACTTTGTCTCAAACTATTTGTTTCGTGCATAATCAAAAAACTTAAAAATAATATATTTGACTATTAATTTAGAATATTATAATTGTTGTTTTGTCAGTTATTATTAATTATCTAGTAATTAGGAGTTCTAACATTAGTGAGTTATGGGTTAGGTCACATGTGATGTAGTAGTGGATTGTTAATAAGGTCAGATTTAACTTGATTGAACGAACATTCAACAGAGGTTTTCCTGTCTCAGGGTGGGTCTCTTCTTTCTAATTTCTTCTCTTTTTTTTATTATTTTTTTTCAATTTCTTCTTCTTCTTTTTGTCAATTTCTTTCTTCTTTATTTGTGTTAATGTGTTAATTTTGTTAAGAAAAGGGGACTGAACTTCTAATTACTAGATAATGAATAATAATAACAAAATAAAACTTATAATATTTTAAAATAATCCGAATTTACCCCTTAAAATCAACCTTGCTCTCAAGGTTGAAATGCAACTCAATGACGTATTTTTTGAAACAAATATTCTATTCATGTATCAAAATTAAAAATAACATACATATATATACCTACTAGTGGTAAACCCGTGCTATGCACGGGATTGGTTTAATAATGTGTAAATTTTTTAATAACGCATTAATTTCTAAATTTACTCATAAAATTATAATCATAATGCATAGAGATCATCTTTTCAAATTTCTTAAGTGAAGACAATATTTCAAAGCAAATATTCATAAAATATTTAAATCATCCAATTGAGTTGTTTTTCTTAAAACAATAAACTTGATTTCTAACTAATGAAATAATATATATTAACAATAAATAAGATATTTCTCAATGAACCTACTGTATAAAACATATATATGCTAAAAAAACTAATAATAAACCAAATGTCATAAATCAAATCTGTCTATATTTGATAAATTAAAACTCAATAGATGTCGCTCATCATGTCCAAATGTTCCAAAAAGTACCGGTAAAATAAAAAAGTGTTAACATTTTTTTGTTATCATTTTTTACATACAAACAAACTTAAAAAAAATATATATATATATATATATAGATATATTACCTTATGAGGAGTGTTGATTTAATTGTCCTCATTTTTGGGTTGTTGCTTCACTTCATTCTCTTCACCACCATTATTTTGTTGTTGCTGTTGTTGTTGTTCCACTTTAATATTTTCATTACCAATGCGTTGCTCCACTTCACCCAATGCTTGTAAACAAATCATATCATTTTCAATTTCCTCCAACATAATTATCAATGCTCTCATGTCTGGAAAGTCTTTTTTAATTTTTTTCATGAATCTCTTGAATAGGCTATGAGGTTGGAAGTGTGTTAACTATAACATGAACTAATATTACAATGTGGGGCTGGAAACCTTTTTTCCTAAGCTTATAAAACAGTGGCTCTTTATGTAACATATGCTCTCGTACCATCAAATTTGGAGTTCTCCGCTCTTGCTCAAGTTCAATCCATAGAGGATGAACTTCACACTCCTCTTCCATTAAAGCATTCATTAAGTCTGAGGCATCTTTGATTTCATGCTTTTGAAAAATTGTTTCGTTTACTTCATTCCAGCTCAATGGTAAAATGTCTAATATTGTTTCCATCAATTTTTTTTCACTTATTTTTTCCCCTAATTTTTGCATTGCTCGACATATTTTGATTTTCCAATTAGTAAAATTTTCTATTGGTAAACCCTTTTTATGCGGTACAGTTTCAAATTCATTTATGGCATTTTGCATGGCCAAACGATCACTACAGCGCAAATTTAGAGGAGACCGCATATTTATCTGCATAATGAATTTAACATACAATTACATAATGTTAGTCAATTTTTTAAAAGAATAAACCACATTTATTATTATTTGAGTAAAATTTATAATGATATTTGTTAACATAAAAATTGTTTCTTCAAAAAAAAAAAATTGAAGAAAAAGAAGGGTACTTAATTATAAAATAAAATAATTGTATGAATTAAACATAGTATATGTACCGACAATTAAATTAAATATAAATATGTAAATCTCAAATGCAACATATGTTTTCATGTATGACATTACTTATTTTAAACAATCAATATATGAAGAGAAATAATAAAATAATTGTTTCTAAGAAAATGAAACACATTTGGAACTCTTGAACAAAATTATTGATCAATGCTTGGAATTGAATTTTATTAGTTTGTATATATGTTTTTAATTTATTTAAGTTATAGATATTTGAGGTCTTTTTTTGTATTGAATTTTTTTAGTTTGTATATATGTTTTTAATTTATTTAAGTTACAGATATTTGAGCTCTTTTTTTTTTTGTAAATAACGTGATAAACATTGGATATTTGTAATTTTTATATTTTATGTTTTTTATTAATTTATTTAATAATTATAGATTGTTTTTAAAAAAATAACGTGGATGGATATCGAAAATGTAAAATGTGGGAGTTGTTTTTTTGTTCTATTTTTTAATTTTTTTTCCTGGAAGTGTCAAAAGAAGTTTGAGTTCTTTTTTTTTTTTTTTTTAATAACATGATAAACATTGGATATTTCTTGGAGGGGGGGTCCATGAATGCAAACTTTATTGATATACTTAAATTGATCACCTGGAAAGCATACAATTTTTAACTTCACAGAAGTTCTGATCATTTGAAAGACAAAAATTTCAG